GAAGGTTGTGGGATAGTCAGAAAAGGTGGGCTGAAGGAATCTTCTGACAGGAAGGTTGGCTTATATCCACGTGTCAGCATGCGCGTGAAGTCCGCGACAAACTGTCATTTATACAACTGGTTTGTTTATGAGACTTTCTAACCTGAAAATGGTCGTCTCATTTCCGGGTTAGTTAGAACGAACTATCTTCCACTCCCACCCTGACAAGGCAGTTATACTCGCTTCGCCTCTATTCCCTCCAGCCACCCGTACCGCCGGTATCTCGACGCCCTATTGCCCATTGCTATGCAGCCCTTGTTAGAGCTCGCGACGCTGCTTCGTGTAACCGTTTGCAGTGGAGCTGGGAGGCAGCCTAAGAAAACGTCTCTTGTCACTTCATCGCCTCCGGAGGGGAAGCGTGGGAAAAATAAACATACTATTAGTAGAGTGAAAATTCACCATTTTATTATTAGCAACCCATTTGTCTGCTTTCAAAGAGAGCCTCTTATCGCTTGGCGAAAGAGCAACCGGAGTCGGCTGGAAACCGAGCGACTTGTCAAAACTGAGTCGGCCTGGACACCGGCTTGACGAGGAGGCAAGGGCACAGTCTGCAACCCTTTTTTATAGGTTGTCACACTCGGCGACATGAAGTGCACGCCGCTTCCGTTCCTCCCTTCCAACTGCCGGCAGTGAACTCGGATAAGCGCACTTTGCCCTCTCAGACAATATGCCAAGACCTCGCTTCATCCGCCCGATGCTTCGTTCTACAAACCACCCGAAACCGAAGGGGGCGCGGTGGCCGGAGGAGGCATGGGTGGATTAATGTTGGCCGAGGACGACGCGACCTGGAACCGGATGTCGGTCGGTCTCTTCCAGCAAAGATTAGAGCCAGCCAGACACTTTCGCCTGTTGCCCACGCGACAACAATGAGGCAGGATTTTTAGCCTCCAAATGTCGCAAGAAGCGCTTTGTAGACCCATCCGCAGCGTGAAGCCTGTGCATCAAGAAACAGTCCCAAATCAGAGGAAACCAATGAGTCAGTACCTAAGACTCGACTCTTAATTGGAGGCAGGATCGTGCCAGCGCACCAGTTGGTCGGAATTTATGCTACCCAAGCGACCCTCTTAGGCGCCATCAACTGGCAGAATTCATGTAGAAAATAATCTAGTCGGGAAATGCAAAAAAACTTGACTTCACATTATGCGACTTGACCGTTTGTTTATCCCGACCATCCAGACTGCTGGCAAGAGTGGTGGATAGATCTTGGCTGAAGAAAGTGTTGATGCACTCATTCGCCTACAAAGGCAAGATGAAGATAAGGAAAGCAAAAGACAGGACGGATCGTCTTGACACCAAGGAATTACAGGAAAAGTTGGTCACAAACGGTTGGCCTTTTACGAGTGAATATGTGCATGCATGGAATAGGGTACTTTGTGTGCATTCACACTAAGATCTGTTTTGATTTCGGGTCGACGTCTTCTAAACAATCAATGCCTTTATCTATCACTCACTACTTACGGTAAATATGAGTAGTAGGAATCTTTTGCATCGAATTATTGCCTGCTGCTGCTCGCTAAACACTTGTGACATTTTGATCCAACTCGAGGAATTTGAGAAAACAAAATTGTTTTCTGCCATTGAACTGTTCTTCATACTCGTTTATCAGCCTCTGAGCCTGCTTTTCAAACCTGCATTTGGGAAGGCAATACTTTGAATTATGAGATGTGTTCACCCTATTTCATTTAAGATGATGAAGGATGGATAGTTACGTTTTCCCGTAATGTTATGAGTAGACTTGACGTTTCCATGGTAACCCTGAGTCTGATTTTGACCGCGACTAGCAGTTGACTATAGGTGGCTTATTGAGTCGTCATTGCCCTGAAAGCGTTCGATTAAGTTTTTATGTAATTGATTAAAGAAGGACGATACTGGTACCAGCAAGCCAGGAAGGCATTGAAGCACTTATTCTTTATCTCGTCATCTGCCATGGTTGCTATATACTCTTCCAGCATCCGATCTATGGCCAGGCGCATTTTCAGGAGTTTCAGAGACATCGAATTCGACATAGGGCAATAGTTACAATACTAAATTGACATATGAAAATCATGTCATTAAGGTGTATTATATCTTGTGTCTTTCTGTGAGCACGATAAAGCCATTTTCACCATGTTGCCTCTTTTTTCTTGTGTCAGGCTCGCAACTACTAAAGGTCATAATTAGGTTAAGCTAAAATACGGCATTTTTCCGTTTACCTGGCAAGAAGTGACTCTCAAGAAGCCATTAAAGATGAACTTCTGAGCAACTGTCTAGATTAATTTCAGCAGTCTTTTCAAATGATTTTGCCAGCCTATTAATCGTAGGCTGGTATCTTGGTAACAGAATCCGTCGTCCCGATCATATCTCATGCGTAACACAGCACATCAAATTGCTGAGAGGTTTGCTTCTCTCGAATGGTGATGGGAATGCTTAAAGCATTCTATGAGGATAGAGACAAACCATCGCATAGAAAGTATCTTAAGAGTAAGCCTTCCGAGATTAGCCCATTGTGTCTGCAATACGTGACCAAGTGATGTCCTCTCTTTCTAAGTTACTTTAACAAACTTGCATAAAATAGGGTCTGTTTTACATTTGCAAACATGCTCACTTTACTTTTCGTTTGTAAGTTGGTTTTCAAGACTACCAGTGAATCGTATATGTGAGATGTGTTCCCCCTATTTCGTTTGAAACGATAAAGGACTGATAGTATAATTTTTTCACAAAGACATAAGTAGACCTAAAGTCTTCATTGAATTGCTTATAGACTTATTTCCTTTAAGGTATTGTCATCCAGGTCGGACTGCAGTTTCTACTTCGCCCAGGTCTCATCCGAAATACCCAGTACTCATGGCAATGTGGCGAGATTAGACGCTGAATTATAATGTTTCGAGTCCCAGTGGGGTTTCCTATGAGATCTTGCCGAGATAGAAATAGCAATTCACTTCTGTCTGGATGAAAATACCTTATAGAAAAGCAATACTATTAAATTCAATGAAAACGTCATGTCTACTTATATGATTGTAAGCTTAAACAAAATAGGATGAACACATCTCA